CTCGCGGGAGGTGCTAGCCATAGTCTATTTTCACGGCATTGTTCACGATCATTGGTGAGAGGAGCAGAGCGCGAGGAGGCTCGAGCGGACTCCGCGCGGGGCGAGGTAGAGCGGCTGCACGGGGGTGTTCGGAGAGTGACGAGGACCTTGAGGATTGGAGGACACTTCCCATATCCTAGCAGTCGACTGCGTGTGACACTTCCGTGCTGTGTGGCAGAGGAGCTTTGGGGACTTAGACGTCTGGGTGAGATCTACTTTGCGGCTCTTGACTTGGACGTCCTTTGTCGAGGGTACGCTGACAGAGACTGGGTACTGTATGCGCAGTTTATAGTGGGGCCGCTTGTAGGCGAGCGAGGGCTCCAGTTGATTGAGTTTCTGCGGGCCATTGTACCTACCGGGAGCTCAGACCTGTATTCTCTGTACCAGCCCCTAGCCTTCTGGACGGCTCTAAAGAGAGAGGCTCGGAGGCCAACTGATCATTTAGCTGGTGTGGGACAGTTGCTAGCCGAGACTCGTGAGGAGAGGCCGAGCCACCTCATCTCGACCCGGGAGGTTGAGGAGTATTACCAGCAGGCATATCCAGAGGCTGACGATCTTGCGTGGTACGCCGAGGATCGGGATTGGGAGGACTTGGATGACATAGACCCTTGGGGCGACCAGGACGGGGATTGGGGAGATCTGGCGCGGGCTGAGCAACAGGAGCAGGTAGGCGGAGAGGCGCCGCAGGAGGACGGTTGGGGTCATCTCCTTCAAGCCGAGGGGCAGGAGGATATCCCATGGTGGGAGAGGGTAGATGAGGACACAGATGAGGATATGCCAGATGCATGAGACGACTAGAGGCAAGGCATATCCAAGTGAGGTTTAGAGAAGGGGGTAGTGGAGAGTATGGCAGACTGGGATATACTGAGGGTGACTCTTTCCCTGCTACGAGATAGGACGGGTGGCTGGGAAGGAGAGGCCTTAGAGATTGTTGAGCGACAGATCGGACTCATGACGGAACATGCCCTAGAGATACGGAGGAGCCAGAGGTACGTCGAGTTTACTATCTACTTCCATGAAGCAGAAGGGAGAGCGCACAACACCTACTCGACCATACTGGACCTGAGTGCGAGAGTTGTATGAGGAGTTAGCAACGTCGAGATACAGGGTGCATCGGAGGGAGTAGATTGATGTTGATCGAGAGTCGGAGAGGAGATAAGGAGTGACTCAGTGGCCTGGTTAACTTATGTTCTCTCATGAGAGTCCGAATCGTATAGTGTAAGGAAGCTTGTGGGACCCAGAGAGACGGCGGTTGGATACGACATTCCACTTCCTRTGGCGTTAGAAGGGACAGGGCGTGTTCCGATACGATACTTGGGAACGTGGCTCGCAGAGGGACTCTTCCTTTGGACAGTGATACTACGAGACGAACGACCCGAGGGGACTCATGATCTAGAAGGGGTCGGACATCTGATAGCGGATAGAGCACACGATTTAGAGATAGGAGTGACGCTCGCAGGGGCGAGCAGGAGTTGGTGGAGAAGCGAGTCGTTGGCTAGAGTGATCATTAACCAGCAACTAGCGAGACTCTCCGGGGGGAGGACGCGCTGGAGCCACTTGGTATACTGTCCTCCGCACCCGACCCTCTTTCCGCGAGAGGATTGGCGATTCGGACTTCCTGCCTTCGTGATAGGGCAGACCTATGAGAGTATAGAACGTTTGAGTAGAGCAGTGGACCACACGCTTTACGCGCTCTGGGAGGGCTTAGCGCCCTGTTTGAGGGAAGTATACTACGCCATTTGTGTGAGGTGGGGACCACCCAGTAGAGAGACGCTTGACGACATCATAGATGTTACAAGCTGGGTGGACTGTCTGAGGCCAGTTGATCTGATTAGGTACTGCAGGAGACGAGCGGAGATCGACTACGTGGGGATAAAGGATGTGAGGTTTCTCTTCGAGGCCGCAGCTTAGGGAATGTCGGGGAGGACGGCCACAGTGATGCGTGTAGGAGAGCAACTGGTAAGCACAGGGTACACTGTAACAGTACTTCTCCGAACGTACGTAGAAGAGGACTTGACGGCAAGGGAGTGCCGACAATGAGCCAGAGATTAGATCCACGAGCATAGAGCTGATGTACTGACGCGGGTGACTTTCCAGACCTCGATTTTCTATGAGATGATGATATGGTCCATAGCTATATGCGTGCGGAGCACTTCCACGCCGAGACGGTAGCGGAGGCTAGAGCAAGGATGAGAGGATGAGCTGGAAAAAGATGAAGACTGAGTATGGAAGAGGAGAGTGACGTCGTCGGAAGAGTGAGAGAGCGCATTAAAAAACCGCTTTTGAACCAGGTAAAGGAGTTGGGAAACAAGTTAAGGGAGATCTGGTCGTGCCAGGATGAGAGCAAGTTGCGTAGGGTTGAGCTCGTGACGAGAGAGTTAGAGAATCTGTTTAGGGAGGAAAGAGAGATTATCCAGGCGTGGAGATCAGACTTTCTGGAGAGGGTGAAGGCTTGAAGCGTATCATGCGAAGGAACTAGTGAGAGGTCTGCAGAGGCCGTGACAAGGGAGGACAAGGTAACGCAGGGAGGTAGTGACAGAACATGAGCGGGACTGCACTACACACGACGGATCGGTACTCATTGCATGTGGTAGGGAGACTGGACGGACCATTGGTGTTAGTGATCGTAGAGCTCCAGCTCCATACCCGCCTGTGCATAGTTGAGGAGGCAGAGTGTGTCCGCCGTGTGCTGCGTGAGGCCAGGGGGACAGGACTTTGGATTGGAATGGAAGGAGGACGGAGGATAAAATACGTACTCCGAGTAACACCCTTCGAAGGGCGGTCGCGGATAAGGGCATGGTACGAGACGACCAGAGAGGCTGAGAGGTTGAAGATAAGCGAAGCCAGGAATGCTGGAGAGTTAGGGAGAGTTGTAACAGACAGTGCCATACTCAGGGTGCTAGCCGCTCACGATCGGTACTGGAAGGAGTCGATAAAGACTTTGAAGGTCATAGAAGATAGTAGAGATGAGGAGGATTTTGAGACATTCTATGACATTTTGGAGCTGTCGGCGATGAGGTTACGAGTGGCTATAGCAGGTGCTAGACAGATGACCTCATAGCTGTTTGGGAGTTGAAGGAGGAGAAATAGAGGTTGGAAGCTCTTGGAAAGAAAGTACAAGTCAGAAAGGTGGGCGAGCAACTTTGGATGGCAGTAGGAGGAGAGCTTCCACCTTCAGCACGCTACCCGATTCAGGACGGGCTTGGAGACCTAGCAAGGAGGGCGGAGTTAGACGCTTGAAGGCTCTTGAGGGGTGTTGATCAGGAGACATTGGCTAGGCTTGGGACTGCGATCAGCCACAGGTGTAGGGATCCCGTCACGGGTATACTGCAGATCCGGAGAGGCGCGGCCTTGTTGGCCGATCCCGAAGAGCAGGTCTACCTAAACACAGGGATTCTCGGGATAGAGGGAGAGCACGAGATCCGCGACCGGAACCGAGTACAGGTGGTAGTGATCAGGGCAATCGAGAGCTAGGGTTGGTGACGAGCGTGAACCGTGACAAGGAAACTTGTCCGGTCTGCGAGTTTTGAAACTGGTCCGGGCTGCGAGTTCCGTCACAGGTCCAGGCTGCAGCAATTGTCATAAGTCCGGGCTGTAACACCCGGCGAGAGTGCCTAACTGCGTCTTCTGGTGGCCTATGGAACCAGACATGATGGGGCCACAACCGACCACGGCCGAGACATGAGAGGAGTACAGGACATCGCCCAACCGAGCTCTGAGGGATCTGAAGGAACGAATTAGGCGGGACGCACCTCTGAGATGGGATGACCAAACCAATGACGGAGAGCCCGACGTAATGGGCGAGCCGGTCGTGACGGAGCCGCAGGAGGCACTGAAGACGGGAACCTCGAGCGGTCGACGAGAAGCGAYGAGACGACGCTCCCCCGAGTACGAGCGGAGGGACACCATAGCGGATAGGCACAGAGACGACTGGMRAGAGAGYTCRAGGGATTCCTATTGGAGGGACAGAGATAGAGACAGAGCGCCGCTCAGGCGAGTCTTCGACCCTCAGACAGGGGAGTCGCATCCGGTCCCTTACGAGAGCAAGGACCGCTATATTATTACGCACAAGGCCTCTGAGCCACCTACTTTTAGGGGTTACGGCATCACAAAATATCTGGAGAAGTGGGAGCTTCATGCAAGTCGGAGTCAAAGGTCAGAGGAAGAGATTATAGAGAACTTTCTATTTAATGTGGACCCAAGTCTCGGTAGGGAAGTTAAAGAAGTTCGACCGAAGGATGGGAAATGGACTACGTACAAGAAGAACCTCGTTGAGCTTTAGAAATTGGAGGATAACAAGTACTCCATCAAGGACCTTGAGACGATGACTCAAGATGAAGATGAGAGCGTACGGGCATTTGGGATGCGTTTCCAGAAGATCTCCGACGTGCTGATGAAGAAGGGGAAGATCTCAGAGGTCGAGCGCTGTACTATCTTCATCAGACACCTGTCCAAAGGTAGACAAAAGAGTATAGTTAGAGATCTTCCGCGTGACAAGCTTGACTTCCCAGAAGTCCTAAAGCTCGCGATAAAGGCAGTGGCAGATGACTACAAAGACTTGGTGTGGAGAAGGATGAGGAGACGTGACTTTTTCCTCTACAAGGAGTATGTCACCGATAGATGTCCAAATTTTAAGGACCATCCCTGGTCGGAGAAGAATGAAGCCGTGGCCGAAGAAGTGAAGGAGATAAGGGACATGGTAAAGGGATTGACAAGACAGGTTATATAAATTGTAACCACCACAGGAGCCACTGCATACCGGGACAAGCCTGGAGGGCCATATTCACTTCGCTGGGACCGGAGGAACATTGATTCCTGGAGGAGTGTTGAGGATAAAAATCCTCGAACACTAACTGATTATCGTACGAGGGAAAGGGAGAGAGACGATGAGCCATGGCGACGTAGGGATGATGAGATAGACCGGGACCGCAAGATTCGCGAGACATATGAGCGTGCTAGGAGACTGGATGACTACTCGCGTAGCTCTCGCTATGAGCCTGACGGGGGTAGAAGCGACTCTCGAGGCCGATGGGAGTCGGATCAGGGCCGGCGGGATGGATACAGGGATGGTAGATATGAGATATTGGACCGCGATGGACGTAGAAATGACAGATATGAATGGTCGGATCGAGACGGATACAGGGATGGTAGATATGAGAGATCGGACCACGATGGGCATAGAGACGACAGATATGAGAGGTCGGATCGAGACGGATACAGAGGCGGCAGATATGAGAGAGGGGATCGAGCCGATGATTCACGCGGGCGGTACGACCGAGGAGACCGGCGCGATGATTCACGCGGGCGATACGAATACGGAGACCGCCAAAATGATTCGCGCGGCCGGAATGAGAGAGGGGGACATGGCGCTTCGGCTGACCCGTATCTGAAGTCCCCTGACCCGAGAGCAGCGAGAGGTTCGACCTCCAGAGCCGCAGACGACTGGCCACCCACATCCAGGAACTCTTGCGTTTACTGCAGGGGGGATGATCATATCAAGAGAGATTGCCCGGACCTCAAACGAGCAATAGATGAAGGCATTGTCGTGCTTGATGACCGCAAGTACGTCAAATGGGCAGATGATCTGGGAGACGTATCGATGTTCCCCTTGATGAAGGAGAACGTCGAAGCAAGGAGAGTAAAGTTGAGTAAATGAAAGGAGCTGGTTAGGAGTCAGAGCATCAAGATAACTTTCGAAGGAGATATGGTGACCACACCCATGAGGGTGGCAGCTACCAAGTCCGCAAGAGGGTCTACATCAAAGAAGACCGACACGGATTACGTGATGGCGGAGAAGGACGGCGGACAATGGATCGATGGAGGGGAGGTTATTGTTTCGCCGCGAAAGCAGGGAGTAAGGAAGTTCTTGATGAAGAGTTCGCTGGATGAGATTCACACGGTCGAGCCACTGAGACGGGCCCTTCGGCAGCCCATGCAGTGCTCTATTCTGGAGTACTTGGCGGCATCAAAGTCGGCTCGCGATGAGTTACAGATGATCACGCGGAACACTCGCATACCTCTATCAGAGGAGGCTCAGGGGGCCCCTAAGGCGGAAACTCCTACCGTAGCAGTAACGGGGGTGACTGCTAGAGCAGATCGCATGGCGGCAGTCCTTCTTGATGGGATAGAAGGTGTGCCTCCAGACAAGTTTTACATACATGGTAGTGGGGCCGTGGAGACGATCATAAACGATGGAGCGGTACTAGATGCTGTGATCGATAACGGCAGTGAGGCTGTCATTATAGACGAGGATCTGGCAGTACAGGTTGGACTGGACCTCGTCAGGTCACACCTATTCGAGATAGAGACTGCTGATGGGAGAAAGTAACAGATCACTGGGGTTTGTCACAAGGCAGCCATAGAGGTCCAAGGGGTACGAGTGACCCTGCCTGTCTTTGCAGTCAAGAACTGCAGCTCCGATCTGCTCTTGGGACGAACTCCGTTGAGCCACGTGCATGCGGTGACGATAGAGCGACCTGACGGGAGCTAGACATTGTCCATTAAGAAGCTAGATGAGACGCGGGTTATGATTGAGACGGTGGAGCCTCGGGACCCGAGGAACAGAGCAGCTCTCGCAGCGGGAGCAAGACCCAGTGATCAAATTAAGTCATTACCTACCTCTGGCCGCGCGGTGCGATTTCGTGAGAAGAAGTATGGACCACTGCTCACAGAGGAAGAAGGTCGGATCGTGGAAGTGGAAGATTTGGGGAGTCGGCTAATAGTGGACGGCAACTCGTACCCAAAGGAGACAGATGAGGAATTTGGCGGGGTGGTATCTGTGTTTTTTTTAAGGGCACGGCCCTCTATGGGGGGCTACCCAAGCGACACAAGCAAGTAGCTCAAAAAGTTTAGCCAGCGGCGGTGGGCCGCGAGCAATCAGCACTGGAAGGGATATCGGAAGAAGAGATCGCCAAAGAAATCAAAAAAAGAAGAAAAAGGAGCCGCAACGCCTAACGGAAGAGAGAATAGCGGGGATGGGCATCGAAGATGGAAATCTAACCCCACAGGAGCGAGAACGTGTGATAGAAGTCCTGAAGACATGCGATAAGGCTATAGCTTTCAGCGACGCGGAGCGCGGAAGGGTTGACCCTCGATACGCTAAGCCATCGAGGATTTACACGATTCCACATGTTCCTTGGAATGACGCAGGATGGAAATATTCCCAGAAGGAGAAGGAAGAAGTTATCGCTTTCCTAAAGGAAAAGATGGTTTCCCATGTTGCGGAACCGTCTGACAGTGCATATGCTAATCGATGGTTCTTCCTACGAAAGCCGAATGGCAAGATCCGATGGATCCAGGACCTTCAGAAGGTCAACGTGGTGACGATACGAGACGCGGGCTCCGTGCCACATGCCGACTTACTGGCCGAAGGCAGGTCGATTTATTCGGTCTGTGATCTGTTCTCAGGCTATGATGAGGTACCGCTTGATCCTAGGGACAGGCACCTCACGGCTATGCACACGCTGTTAGGACTGATACAGATGATGGTTGTCCCTATGGGTTGGACTAATGGGGTAGCCGTTTTTCAGAGAGCCATGGTAGCCGTCCTCAAGGACTTCATCCCTGATAAGGTTGAAGATTTTCTGGATGATTTTCCTATTAAGGGGCCAGTAAAGAAGGATGGGACCGAGGTTGTACCAGGAGTTAGAAGATTCGTCGAGCAGCACCTAACGGATATTTGCGAGGTACTTGAGCAGCTGGACGATGCGAATTTAACGGTCAGCGGAACAAACAGCCGGTGGGCCGTCTCGACTATTAAGATCTTAGGCTTATCTGTGACTCGAGAGGATGCCGAGCAGATCCGACGAAGCTAGACAAACTCCTGAACTGGCCGTCACCGTTACATAGTCCAACTGAGGTCCGACAGTTTCTGGGAGTGGTCGGTTACTGGCGTATATTCATACGGGGGTATGCGGAGAAGGCTGAGCCGTTGAGGTTACTCCTTCGAAAGTTTGAAAAATTCTACTGGGATTCCTTGCAGGAACTCGCTATGCAAGAGCTTAAGGACGAATTTAAGGAGGGAGGACATGTACTGGGCGTGCCATTCTTTGACGATGAGACCGAGAGACCCTTCATAGTATCCACGGATGCTGGACCTTGTTCAGTTGGAGGGCTGCTGTCTCAGAAAGACGCTGAAAGAAAGGAAAGGCCGTTAAGGTTTGAGAGTATGACACTTAATACGGCAGAACGAAACTACAATCAGTTCAAGAAGGAAGTGTTGGCCGTTCGACAGTGCCTGGACACGTTCAGACACTATATCTATGGGCGTCGGTTCATCTTGAGAGTAGATCCCACAGCGGTTGCCTCTGTCCTCCAGAAGGATTTCAGCCTGACGGACCGGACCATTGCCCAATGGCTGATACGGATTCGGCTATACGATTACACAGTGGAAAGGATATCTGGCACTAAAAATGTCGTGGCAGATGGGCTTTCGCGCATCCCTCTTGAAGCCGAGCGCCCGATAGTAGCTAGGGCCCTGACATTGGCAGAGCCGAGACATGCCGGACGATTTCTCGTTAACCTTTACGAGGGCAAGTACCGAACGATCGGGTTACACCTGTCAGGAGAGGAGAGTCAAGAATCAGATATCCAGAGACAAGCGGCGCAGTACTGCCTCAGAGCCGGCCATCTATTTCGAAGGTCGGTCGGCTCAGGGATGCCCTTACGAGTAGTTTGTGACCCTGAGGAGAGACAGACGATAGTTGCGGAGCTTCACGACGGGGTTGTCGGAGGACACAGGGGAGTCAAAGGAACCTACGAAAAGGTACGCAGGTTATACTCGTGGGAAGGACAGTATAAGGATGTCGAGAAGTACTGTTTGACCTGCGAGGAATGCCAGAAGAGAGATCTTGTGAAATACAGAGAGCCTCTCCACCCATCCTATCCTGCAAGGCCAGGAGAGAAGGTACACATTGATCTGGTGAAGATGCCGAAAGGAGTAGGCAATATGAACTATGTCGTGAACATACGTGATGATTTCACTAGATTCGTGGACGGTAGACCTATCAGGAGTAAGACGGCAAAGGAAGTGAAGAACTTCGTCCTGGAGTACTTATCTAGGTATGGCTGTGTCAGCAAGATAGTGATGGACAGAGGGGCGGAGTTTCTAGCTGACGAGGTTCAGAGTGTGTTCAAGAGAGTTTGGCCTAGAGTTTCAATAGCCACCGCCTATCACCCACATTCGAACTCCTCAGTAGAGAGGGGCCACCAGACTCTGATAGCGTCCCTGTCCAAGTGGTGCAAGGGTAAGGATAGTGATTGGCCACGATATTTTCGATACGCAATATGGGTGGACAACGTCACGGTCCGGGCTAGTACCGGATACCCACCGTAGACCTTGTGGTTTGGGCGACATTGTCTGCTCCCCATAGAGTTTCACGTCGACAGCTGGACAACCGTCGACTGGGCGGAGGAGATGTCCAGAGAGGAACTCATAGCTGCCCGAACAAGACAGATAGCCTACGGGTTGGAAGATAACCTTATGACAACGGTAGACCGTCCGGCAGTAGAAAGAGACAAAGGTAAAGAGAGATGGGATAAGAATGTGAGAATCCAGAAAGAGAGGGTGAGCGTAGGAGATATGGTCCTTCTCTACGAAGCAGCACTGGAAAGGACCTGGACCGGAAAACTTGCCAACAGATGGATGGGACCTTACAGAGTGGCGGAGGCGCTCGACTGGGATGCCTATATGATAGCGGAATTAGACGCATCCCGGTAGAAGGACCCAGTGGCGGGTGCCAGGTTAAAGTTGTTTAGACCTAGGCCTGCACCCAGCTTATCGATGACGGACCCCAAAGAAAAGGGGAAGGGTAAAATGGAGGATGGAGCTCCCTTGAGATGATTCGAGGCAGGTGAAAGTTCCAAGAAGAGAAAAAGAATAGAGAAAAGAAAGGTCAAAGGGTTAGCTCTAGGAAGAGAGAAAAGATGGTTATTCGTGCTCAGGAGGGCTAGACGAAGAGTCCGCATTAGACAAACTGGCGGGACGACACCCTTCTCGGGCCAACGACAAAAGAAAAATAGGATCCTACCAAGGCCGAGAACCCGGCGGAGAGGGAAAGTAAAAAAACATCAACTTAGCTCTAGAACTCAAAACAGACTCCAACATAAGAAAATTGAATGCCGACGTGGGCGTCCTTTATGGGCAATCACCCTGAAGCTCGTCCGCTTCGTTTGACATAAGTGGATGAGGCTCGACGGGGGCGTCGAGAAGTGGTCCGGGCTAACTGTCAGGCGGCCACAAGCAGTGCGGCGCCTGAAATCTGCGGTTTTGGGACTTAGGCTCAGGGACAAGTCCGTGTTTTGACGGTATTCTGGTATATCTAGGCAGCAGAAATTAGGGAAGTTCAGGGCACCCCTGATTTTGGGCGCACTGAACCTTACGAGTAACCCTCAAAGATGGCGAGATGGGTGGCCGCACTCAGCGTATCTAGGGACCGTCATTTCCGGTCATTCAGAGGGTTAGACCCAGATTGGCCTGCCGCGGAGAGGCGTCGCGGGAACTGACCTCGCTGCAACATTTTTGCGGCATACGATCGGGGCCGAAATGAGGCCTCGAATTTTTGTCTATCTTAGTACCATAATTAAAAATGGGGAAAAGGGATTAAGACCAGTAGGGGAGAAGGGAAAAACATAATATTCCTTAATTTCTTTATTTTTCACGRCATTTAATTCTAGGGGGAATACCCTTGTTATTTTATGTTCCCGGCAATGAAATTGAAAACATAGAAAAAGATTAAAAATGGTAAAAGAGAAAAGAAACAAAAGGAGTTCGGCCATTAATTTAAAATTTCTCGAAATGAAATTTTGGAAAACTTACGGTTAATTTACTATTTCCGACAATCTAATTAAGGAAAGGGAAGAATGATGAAAAACGATGAAAGGGACGGGAACCCATGACTAATGGGAGATTGGTCTAATCTCGCCTCGATTACCCGCCATCAGCTCTGACCCCGGATTGAACGTTTTCCTCGGATTTTAACAGTTTTCACTACTGCCGATGGTCGAGGTTCCCTGCGTCGCTTTGCTTGGTTTGCTTGATTACTAACATTACCGCAGTTGGGATGTTCTGAGAGCGGGAGTCCCCTAGACAACATGGGGTGGTGCTACCTTGGGTCGACTATGGTGTTTAGTTCGGTACGGATACAAGGGTTGTTACGGAGTGGCTACGTCCTACGGTGTCTAACGTGCTTCAGGTACGTTATGGGCCCGGTGACAGCTGTTTCACTACGGTGACTTATTTTCAGGTTTGGGACAACTGCGGTGATTTATTCTCAGGACCGGGGCCACTACGACAGTTATTCCAGGTTTGGAACCTTGGCGGTAGTTTGTTTTCAAGTCCGAGAACGTTGCGGCATTCTATATCAGGTTCAGGACAGGTACAGAATTATCATGGCATGGTTGTACGGGTTCGGCATCTACGTGGCACAGCAGCGCGGTACTGGATTTCGGGTTTTGTCACGTTCTGTGGCATCGCGGTGTTTCGTTTCTGGATCGATGCCCTCACGGCGATTTATTTCAACTTCGGAACCTTTGCGGTGACTTATTTTCAGGTCCGGGACCACTGTGACAATTTATTTCAGGTTCGGAACCTCTACGGTGATTTATTTTCAGGTCTGGGACGACTGCGGTAGTCCGAGACCTTGGCGGCAGTTTATTCCAGGTTCGGTACCATTGTGGCAGCTTATTTTTAGGTCCGGGATCATTGCGGCGGTTTACTTCAGTTTCGGTACTATTACCGCATCACTGCATCTTGCCGTGTCCGACATGTTTCAGGTACGGTATTGATTCGGCATTGGCGTGGTACACGCCACTGCATCATTTTCAGGCACGGTCTTTGAACGGCAAAGGCACGATATGTGTTACAGCATCTCCAAGCGATTACTTCAGGCTCTACGTTGGTGTGGTAACTATACAGTGTGTTGTACGGTGCACAGGCTGCTACAACTTAGAGTGGTAATTCCCCGGTTCGGGAACGGTATGGTGCACGCCGTCGTGTTGTTTCTGACTTGCAGCGGCTATGGAGCCTTCAGATAAGGCTAACTGGGGCTGGCCCTGCCGCGAAACGACTCCTGGTCTGAGGGCCCTTACCACCACCACAAACGAAGTACTGGGTCTACTCCCTCGGGCCTGTTTATTGCCTAGCCAGGGTTTGAAGACTCAGGTACTGTATTGCCTCGAATAGAATTGGTGGTGTTGAGCCTACGAGGCTGGCTCTACGTGGATATAGCCGGGGCAGTACGGTACGGTCACAAGATCGGTATAACCACGTGGTTCGATTTCTCTGTTGGTTGGCAAGGTATGTGTGGCATCACAGGGCCATCCGGCTCGGTGTTTGGGATCAGCCTGGTCACAGGCTCGAACGCAGGATCTGGTACAGTAACACTGCACTCACTATTCGGAGTTACAACAACTGAGCCTGCGCACTTGGTCCCTACGGTGGCCGCTCGGGACCGCTCCTAGGAAGGACTGAGGCTGAAAGAGGCGTGCAAGGCGTTCTCCGCCCACACGAAGTTGCGGGTGCGGCATGTCGGGAGGTAGTTATAGGCGCGAAAGAGGGTCAGTCGGGGGATGCGTGCACGGTGTATTCCGCGCCGTTATGTAGGCGGATGCAGATGAGGAACCGCGCGCACGATGATCCGAGCTCGTTCGCAAGTCGAAGTCGTGGGTGCTCAGCGAACGGGCGATGCGAGCCACGTGTCCGCTGACCACGACCGCTAAGCTGGCACGCTTGGAAAAGGCAGAACGAAGGAGAGGGGCAACAGCAGCGTGACTGGTGTTCCCCACCTTCCACAATACTCTGGTAACTTCAGGAAGCCCGGTTGGCGCATGGGACAGGTAGCGCAGCGCTGTTGGGAGGAGACAGGCGAGGTGAACGAAGTGTAAGCAGCATATGCAAGCGAGAAGGGTCAAGTATCGGCGTTGTACCAAGGGGCGCGTGAGAGAGGGAGCCACGAGACCACGAAAGCTTGTTGGCCACTACTTAACCAGTGAGCTAGTAATATGAACCTAGTGTGTGCGTGCTCGAGAATTGTGTACTGGGCTAGACTTCACCCATTGATAGAACCACCGAACGAGTGGTCATTGGGCGAGAAGAAGAGAAAGTATAGTAAAGAGAGAAAAGTTGACTTCGGCGAGAGTGAGAGATAGAGTGGTGGGGAAAAGCAGGGTCTGCGATCAACTGGTTGGGCTGTCCCGCAGTTGGGAGAGTGACCCTTCTGGTGGCCAGGACGCCAGAGCCGGCAGATTGTCATCTGCGCATTCCGTCTGACCGTCGATCGAGCATAGGGATCTGTCAATCCAGTAACTCAGCTCAGGGGTAAGAGATCAGGACGTGCTTGCATATCGATCAGCCAGTCGAGTAGCCTGCCTGAAGCGGGTGAAACGTTCTCTAAAGGTAATTACCGAATCCCTCATTCGCGAGTAAAAGCTA